GGGGGGTGGGGGTGGGGAGGGGCGAACATGGTTGAATAAGCACAATGCAAGGTTGGAGTGGGGGACAGGGAGCGTCCGAACTGACTGTTGGTAAGACGAGAGCCGGTCTTAGGGAAAGGGCTCAGACGGCTTGGTGGAATTAGACGCTTGTCAAATTTGGGACATGAAGAGTTATTGGGATCATTTTAAAGCTTGTTCAGTTGTCTTGTTTTCGATGAAAAAAGTTCCCATCTATATTTTAAACAGAAATTGAGATATGTGTGCTTGAAGGAGGTGGGGGCGCCTGGTTTCAGCTGTAGAACTAGTGAGAAAATGGTCGCCACATTTTGGTGGCTTCCATAACTTGAGAGTCTTTAGAAATCGTAAATGTACATTTATTGTGTGCCTCTAATGAACGTTTTCAGTAACTTCAACACAGAAATGTGATCTTAAACGGACATAAGAGTTGATGAGTCAAAAAAACAAAAATGCGGATTTCTTCGATTTCATTATTTTGACGAGTGCCTGATTTCACCACGATGCCTCACAGCTGAACTCACACTCTGTATCTCCGGTTTGTCTCGAAAAATCTATAATAAATGATATCTATATCGTTAATGTTTCCTGCCCCAAAGTGATATTCAGGAGGCAGATCACTTCGACTTTAACTTGTCGGCTCCAACTTCCGGATATATACAGAATGCCAGCAGACTGACTACATTGAATATAATATCTTCTATTTCTTCTCCACATCTTCTGCTTCTTTCCTCCTTCTCCAATCCCTTTCCTCCTCATTATAATAGATAGCACCTTCACAGATAGCCCAATTAGTGGTGAGACCAGCGTCTGCGTCTCTCGGCTGTTGCATGCAGAAGATGAGTTCGTTGGAGGAAATCTTTTAGTTTTAGTAGGAGTTTTACGGCACATGCAACACATTAAGGTCCTACAGGACTTTGTGCCAAAAATTAGAGGTGTAACATAAGAGTAACAAATATAAAAAAAAAGATGGAGGGGAGATAAGGACGATACATGTTTGATAGTAAAGAAGGAGCAAACCACACCAGAGCACCCACCAACCATCCACTGGAGGAAGTTTTATTTAATCGAGTACCTCCGTCTGTCTGCCGAGATGTTGTAAAACATCCATCTCGAGTTAGCCTTGACAGAAAGGGTCGAAGCATTTCTCGTCCGGAATTATCTATGTTTTGTTGAAAGAGGAGGAGGGGGTGGGTGGCTTGAGAGCGGGGTGAAAATTTTAAATGGTACAGGTTTAACACCCATATTAACGCTATTAGGTTATTCAAGAGGCGGGACCTCCGAGTTTAACGTTCTTCTTTGGCAGGACCGAGCCAATATATATGTAATTTGAGTAAAGTGCCTTTCCCAAAGACATAATGTTGGACCGAGCTCAAGCTCGAACCCCCCCAACCCGCAGTCTCACGATTACGGGTCCGGTAGTCTAACCACTAAACTATGGACGCCACAGAAAAGGAATGGGTGGGTTGGGGGTAAAAATATATACAATGACAATTAAAAATGTAATCTTCAATCGACACTTTGCATTCTTACCTGACTAGGAAAAGGAGCTTGAGATTTGGAAATTCTTCCAGATACCATTCGGCGTATTGTACTCTGAGCCGGATGGTTTTAATGAAGGTCATTTCACTGGCCAGGCATGTGTTCCACGCGCTCAGAACACATTTGACGTGTTTGTAGCTCGAGGCGGTCTGTGACAAAGAATACAGTTAGATATTACACATTAAGTAATAGATTACATGACAATGCGGTCAATCTTTGAACATATTAACTGAACATGGAGAAAGTAAAGAAGAGGCAACAGAAATGTGTCTTTAATAAAACAGACTGTTGATAATTTCGTGGAAGGAAAGGCAATCAAATAAGGTGGTACTAAAAGAAGCTACCAATACAAAAAATGATAAGATGAAACAGGTATGTGCAGTTCCTATGGCACCTGATTTGGCATAAAGGCCCTAAATGCTGTCACTGAAAATATAGAAGACAAAAAAGCATGGATAGATCAAGAATACACTACTCACAGATCCTGGAACTTCAAAGAGTTTGTAGTAAAATGAAAGTTGTAAATGATAATTATACATCCCTCTTGATACATTTTAGAACTACCAGGGGGCTGGCTGCTTCTACCGTGCCTGCCTGTGCCAACCGGGGCTGAGAAGGCTACAAAGCCTCAGGTGATAGAAGGCCATACTCGTTTTAAAAAAATCTTCCTTAGCTCCCTACTCTGTATTTGAATTCACGTCTTCGGCTAGAAACAGCAAAGAGCCTGGCCGTAATACCACAGACTTCAAGGAGGGCCTGTAGATTGAAGGCCAGCCAGAGACGGCTACAACTGACCTGGTTGCGTTGATAGAACTATTTGGCAAATGACCAGACTCTTTAGACAGAAGTACATGGCAAATGACCAGACTCTTTAGACAGAAGTACATGGCAAATGACCAGATTCTTTAGACAGAAGTACATGGCAACTGACAAGAAAAAGGGCCTATAGATTGTAGGCCAGCCAGAGAAGGCTACCACCGACCTGATTCTTTTGACATAAATACATGGCAACTGACCTGCATACGTAGACAGAAGTACATGACAACTTACCCGATTTCTTAGACAGAAGTACATGACAACTTACCCGATTTCTTAGACAGAAGTACATGACAACTTACCCGATTTCTTAGACAGAAGTAC